GTGATTCACGACGGTCGATCTACGACTATCACCACATTGATGCACCAATGGCATACGGTATATCAATACACTATGTCGTAAGATCAATTTTAGGATTGAGTTCGACAAACATATCATATTAATATGCAGATACATAGGATCGAGGATTCCGATCCACCACCCGTAGAGGCCCATCGTTCGTTTTGATGATAGAATATCTACATATGCAATTTCTTAATTCATTTAAATTTTAAAGTTTTAAGTTATATATAAAATAATCTAACAATTCAAATAATTTTTCTGTAGATAATTTAATATTAACAGAAGGATGATGCTGAATGGATCGAAATTGCAAATCTTACACAAGGCTACTATTCAAAGCTTAAAAAAGATATATGACACCATTTTTACATAATTTACATTAGTTTTGCTAAGAGTATACTAAATGTATATTTATTTCTAACTTAAAAACCCTATCCTAACCTTTTTTTTATATGTATTTTCGGAGAGTTTTATGCCTTTTTTAGGCATACTGCTCGGTATGCCCTGGCATGTTGCTCAGTACCCCGTACCATACCATACCGAGCAAAGCTCGATATACCGATATGGTACAACATTCAAAACCTTGCAACATACTGAAAACATTTGTATATGAAATCCATCAAAAGATCTATTTGATCTTGCATGATGCATATAACACTTCCAACTCAAGGTATTTAAACATCAAATCCACCTATTTTTAAAATGAAACCACTACAATGGTGGGATCTGATTTGATTTTGTTCTTTTAATGATCATAGATATGGGTCAACCTGTTCTGCTAGGCCTCCTTAGGTAAGGAAGGCCAAATGAATTAATATGATCCAGTGATCCTTACAGTAAAATCACTTAAATCATGGGATGTGATCTCCTTGTGTTCCCTTAATTATTATGGAAAGTCATCAACCCAGAGCATGTTGCTATATCTTGTTGCTCCAATGTCAGTTCTAAACTGCATACTTTAGTGGACATGGTAGGTCTCTAGCAGCAGAATGCAGCACTAAGGCCTCACATCCTTGTAAATTAATAACCCATGACTTTCTGATGTCCTTTTTTCATTGTATGTATGTCCTAGTTATAAGCATTCTAGGATTCTCAAACCACCAAACAAAAGCCATGGTGACTGAAATGTAACTGTTGCCTTTTAATCAGAAGTCAGAAGGGAAACCAATAGTTCTTACACCTCCCATCTCAAGATGGTGCATCTTCTTATGCAGAATTTCAGGCTTAATGTTCAGCCATTAATCAGGCATAGAACACTGAAACTCATAATACCACACTATAATTCAAGTCATGGGTCAAAATCAACCTTGAGAATTTTCTGGATTGTTTTAAAAGTTTGTTGACAAGTGAAAGATGTTAAGTGTTTTAAATAAGGTAGCAGAAATCACATAGACATATTTAACAGAGGAGTTCATATGCATACTTTTTGTAGCATCAAAACATTTTTGAGATCCAACCAGTACATGTATATACTTCGCGTGCTCACATTTGCATATTTTTCCCGCTAACATAAACATCATAAACAACTGACAGCTTACATCACTTTGGCCTCCCCTATGTAAAGTTGATAACCTTTCATATTATATAATATAACTAAAAGGAGGTGTAAAAGAAAGAACTTGAACAGTATAAACCCAAACACACCATTTCTTTCTCTTTAAATCCTAAAATGCAGCAGCCACAACTAGGAGCTGCATCACGTAACCGATTTGAGCAAGGGACACGATCGATCGGCACTACAATTGTTTACGGCCACCAATCAAGACCAAGAAATTGGACGCATCTGCAAAGATTCTTTAACTACATCTATGGTGACCAGTCAATGGAGCAAGAAACCACAAATAATGAACACAGGAACCGAAAAGAGTATAAAGAAAGCGTTTCGAACGAAAGTAATCTAAAGAGAGGAGCAGCAAAAGAAGAACCCTAATTCGGGGATGGTGAGGAGGTATTGCATGTACCTTGAGCAAGTCGCCCAAATGATGGCGACCACTTTCTCGACGGCGAGAGGAAAATACGCTCCGGCGGATGCGGCAGCGGCGGCGTAGGAGGAAGAGGAGGCGGGCGAAGGAAATCGATTTCGAAGCGACGATATACCGAGGAAGAAAAGGGGGGTAAGGGATTTATTTCAAGCGGGTTAGGTCGGCTCCGACGCCGACTGGACTTACTATGGGGAAGGCTATTCCACGACTCAGTGAGTTCAAAACGACAGAGATTGGGTTGCTAATGGGCCGGGTTGGGCCGATTGTGTTGGTGCTCCATTTAACGAAATGAAAGGACAATCTCTCGTAACGAATATTAATAAATTTATATGCAAATAAATGCAAAATCATGATATTACGAATTGAATTTTTGTATACGACTAAATAATTATGAGCGAAGTTTAGCATCAATATATAACATTATTAGTAAGGAAGTCTGGCACATGAACGGTGGAATGTCACATCAGTATTCCATAAATTCAAACGTCTTATATTTAACACATTGATTGAACATCCAATTATATCTGATAGGCTTTCCACGTTTTAGTAATGTATGATGATTCTATGCAATTGTCACGTATATTAAATGGTCACTTTTTATCATCATCAAAAATCAAGTCTTGTGTGCATTATTGATCTCTCTTTGATATATATTTTTTTATAAACTTATTTTTTAAATTAAGCATTAAAAAAATTTTGTTGGCATATCCTAATATAGTTTTATAGAAAAAACTTATTATTTCTCAACACTATGATTTAGTAAAAGGGACGTAGGTTGATTTTAAATTTCTAATACTAGTGAATCAGAAATCTATCATAACATATTGACAAGCAAAATTCAAATTTCAATAGCTTTAATCAATATCTTAATATGACTTGAATTATGACATCTCTCACCCAAATAAGGGCAAGCCACTAAGCAAAAGGGTGCGATAGTCCTACAAAGAAAGTACTAACTACACATGTCTTAAGAAAAAACCTTTAAATCCTAAGGACATAAGGCATCGCTCTCCCTATGAAATAAGGGGTGTGACCCTGACAACCAAAGAAGTTGCCAGCAATAGCCCAATTGACCATAGCTACTCCAACTTTATAATAGAGAAAAGAAGAGAGAACGAAGGAATTTTGCATAGTGCAACCCCTCCTTATTGTAATATTCTTCCTCGAGTTCTAACTGCCAAAGCTTCATATCAAAAATTCATCCAACTATTATGAAAAATCCTCAAGTTGCCTACTATTTACATATCGATAGAGAGAAGGAGGAGATTGAAACTTGCAGTGTTTCATAAACTGTCGAAAGCACCCAAGTATTATCCAAAGATAACTTACATTCTTACATATCGATAAGCTTCCTATCACATTTTTATTTCATTATTTCAAGTCTTGTAGTAAGCATTTTGACTTTATAAACCCTAAACCCTAAACCCTAAACCCTAAAAAAGGTCTTATGACTTGTGCCAGTTGGCCATATAGTATGAGAAAAATATGTTACTTTAGATGATCCATTTCAAGAAAAACTAATGACTATTTAGTGTTACAAGGAGTCTGATTAAAGAAAAATATAAAATGCCTAAATCATCATTCTTCCCGAGTGCTGATCTTTCTATTCAGAAGTGTAATGAGGAGTGCACTGAGATGCTGAGTCTTTTAAATTTGTTTGGGGTGTCTCTACTTGATAGTGTAATTGCTCGTATTGCATATGATGACACTGAGGCATATAATATAGCATAGTAACTCAAATGCTCAATGATCTCTTCTGACACATGTATTCAGTGGATGGCCATGTAAATTAAGGCATGAGAGATGCTTGTTGTTTGTTAAAGAATGATAATTCCTTCAGCATTCCATGGCAATCTGAGCCACAGAGGCAAATTTAACCTGCAAGGCAAGCATGCACTATATGCAGATACTGCAAATGGGAACATGAAGCACAAAATAGAAGGGGAAAAAAGAACAAGGAAAAGCTAGTTGGTCCCTTCCCTTTGAAGATAAAGTTAGCTGGTCACATGAAGTGCTTTAGCAACTTAGATAAAGAGCAAAACCATGTCATGCAGAGCTAAGTAATCTGGAACTGGAGTAACTTAGAAGTTCATCCATGGAGAGGAATCTTCACGCGTGACATGTAGCTTTATCTCTCTCTCCCACCAAGTCCTGGGCGGTCCAATGAGTCATGCCTTCCCATCCATTAACTTTATTTCCATTGCTCATCAGCCGGTCTTAGTCTATTTACTACTTGTGCAGCAAAGTCCAGGATCACAGATTCTCTTCACGCCAATGTGGCGGCAATTGTGAGAGGATGAAGTTTGCAGTTTCCTTGTCGATTTAGTTGTAATGATGACAAGGAAAATTTGGCGAGTGATGAACGATGGAAGGCTCCCCAAAGTGTACTTTTTTTCTGCTCCAGTTCTATGTGATTGATGCTGCTGCCACAGCAAAGTGGTAGGCCATGGTCCGGACATCAAGTGTCTCAATCCACATGCGGATCTAGAAGATTAACTTTCGTGGTCAGCTTGTCTTAAGTTATACGGAATGTACACCCAGCTTACTGTTGCACACATCATGCCAAAACACTGGTCTTGCCTAACTCGAGCAAACTGTCTGTGAAGTGGAGTTTGATCTTAGGTTGCCAATTCACTGTTATCAGCAAAACGATTAACCTTTGTTCTCTTCATCTGTTATGGATTGCCCAATATGAAATACCAGTATGGAACATGCAAACTTATCGTCCCTAACAATGGTGAAGATATTCTATTCAAGGCTTGAGCATGGAGGGAAGCACCAACCCAACACAAAAAGCTGTGGGTTTTGTCAGATTATTATCACTAAACGTGATCAGGTCGTGGCATTACATCTTTGTCCCTTTCACTCGAAGGAAGAGTACTCGATTAAGATAACATATATCCCATGTCCGGTTGAGATTTCATTCGGTCAATTGCTCGCATAAGTGACACTCCACTCACAATCCTGAATCTATTTATATCGTCGTCGTCTTCGCCTCTCCTCCATAGCAGCAGTGACGCTTAGCTGAGAGAATGGGAGCTGATAGAGAACTCCACGTTCTTAGTACACTACTGCTGCTGCTGGTACAACCACTAGTAGTCTTCTCATCAACTCCTCCATTTGCATGTGATCCTATAAACCCATCGACCCCATACTACGCGTTCTGTAAGACGACACTGCCGATTGATAAGAGAGTGAGTGATCTCGTTTCACGCTTGAACCTGGAGGAGAAGATACCACAGCTGGGTGATGTAGCTCCTGCAATCCCTCGGCTGGGCGTGCCGAGCTACAAGTGGTGGTCGGAGGCATTGCATGGTCTGTCACTCTGGGGACGAGGTATCCACTTCAACGGCACCATTCGGTCCGCTACAAGCTTTCCCCAAGTCATACTTACCGCAGCTTCCTTCAACCCCCGGCTATGGTATCGCATCGGACAGGTATCTCATGTAGGTTGACACAGAGGTATCAGTTGGTTGTGAATGTAGTGCTTACATCTGCCTCTGATATTTGAAGGCTATTGGGATGGAGGCTCGAGCAATCTACAACATGGGACAGGCGGAAGGACTAACATTCTGGTCGCCGAACGTCAATATATTCAGAGACCCAAGGTGGGGCAGAGGCCAAGAGACTCCCGGCGAGGATCCCATGACAGCGAGCAAATATGCTGTCTACTTCGTGAGAGGACTACAGGGTGATTCCTTCAGAGGGAGAAGGTCCGGGCAGCTGAAGGCTTCGGCTTGCTGCAAACATTACACAGCCTATGACATGGATAATTGGAAGGGGAACAGTCGCTACACTTTCGATGCTCGGGTAAGTTACTCTAAGAATGGCGCGTTCCTTCTCGGACAACTAGATCGATCATATGTCAGGAAATCCTCAGTGGCTCATTTGCTGCTCAGGTAACAGCTCAGGACATGGAAGATACTTATCAGCCTCCTTTCAGAAGCTGCATCAAACAAGGTCGGGCCACTTGTGTCATGTGCTCATACAATCGCGTCAATGGAGTACCCACCTGTGCTGATTACAATCTATTGTCGAAGACAGCCAGAGGCTTGTGGGGCTTTAATGGGTAAGTTGATGAAGTCGTAAACCACTGACCTACTATATTGATCCCATCATAACTTTCCTTTCTGCTTAATGAAATATAATATCAATATGAAACATCTCTCCTTCTTTTTTCATCTTGTGAGCCGAAAACAATGTTTATCCAATCTGAAATAGAGTTGTTGCAGCAGTAACTACGACTAATGATCATTCTTGGTATATTGTTCAGATACATTGCTTCAGACTGTGACGCGGTTGCTCTCATTTATGGTGCTGATGGCTATGCCAAATCAGCTGAAGATTCAGTTGCTGATGTTCTCAAAGCTGGTATGGACTATGCGAAGGCTCTGTTATGGTTTAAATTGCTTACAGCTCAATCTACTAAAACTTGCTATATAGAACTGAAACAAGGCAAGCTGCCTACTACTGGCAAAACCTTTCCAAATAGACAATTCACTATTTTCCTAGACTTGGTAAGAATTATGATCAGAATGTGTCGAGTGTAATTTAAACAAGGAATCAAGCTAAAATTCTTGTGTAATATAATGAGCATGAGCTTGGTCCTCAACCACAACATAGTAGTAAGTCATCCTTTGACAAAAAAAAAGAAACTTACACAACTCATATGGCTCAAAAAGTAAAGCTAAGTATTAGGATGAAGCTTTGGACTGGGTCACTATCGAAGGAATCAACATTTGGTGAGCTTCTACATAGATGAAGATGCATGTAAGAACTTCAACTTGGGTTTCGTTCAGTAATTTCCAACAATCTCAGTTTGCTAGAATCATACTTTAACTCCTAGTAATTCAGTGCTGTCAACATGAAAGCAGAACTAATCATGATCGAAAACTATGCAGGAATGGATCTAAATTGTGGTGACTATGTGCAGAAGTATGCTGGATCAGCTGTCAAAGAGGGGAAACTATCTGAAAGTGAGATAAACAGAGCACTGCACAACCTCTTCTCCTTGAGAATGAGACTTGGACTTTTCAATGGAAGTCCAAAACAACAAGCTTCGGGAGCCATCTTTGCGAACCAAATCTGCTCGAAAGAGCACCAAGACTTGGCTCTCGAAGCAGCCCAAGACGGCATCGTTCTCTTAAAGAACACAGCCAATTTGCTTCCCCTGGCAAGATCAAGGGTTACATCTCTTGGTGTCATTGGCCCAAACGCTAACGTCGGGTACAAACTTCTTGGTAATTATGGAGGGCCTCCTTGCAAAGGTATCACTCCACTTGGGGCATTGCAGACCTATGTCGGCAGTACTCGGTACGTCGCAGGGTGCGACAGCGCTGCTTGCACTTCTAGTTCGATTAATGATGCTGTGCAATTGGCGAAGTCAGTGGACTATGTGATCATGTTCATGGGGTTGGATCAAGATCAGGAGAGAGAGGACCTCGATAGAGTGGATTTAGTTCTCCCAGGAATGCAGCAAGCTCTCATATCCAATGTTGCAGGAGCAGCAAAAAGGCCCATCATCCTGGTGCTGCTATCCGGTGGTCCGGTGGACATTACGTTCGCAAAGCTCGACGGCAGAATCGGAGGTATCTTGTGGGCTGGTTACCCTGGTGAAGCAGGTGGATTAGCGATCGCACGAATCATCTTCGGAGAGCACAATCCAGGTGAAGCATCCCATTCACTTGCAGAATCTTACAAAGTCGAAGCTTTCTACCACAAACCTGAATGCCATGCAACATACTGAAGCATATACGCATCTGGTTTCTGTGCTTCAAGAGTAGGTTGTGGGTACATGAACATCAAGAACAGCTACTTAACGTTGCTCCAGTAATGGAATTCTTGGTGAACAATGAGAACATATATAGAACTAATGTTCTTCTAATCACAAACTGTTCGTACTAGCTCACACATCATGCTACTTACTTGATCATCCTGGTTTGCGCAGGGGGAAGATTGCCTGTTACTTGGTATCCGCAAGAGTTCACAAGGGTGCCAATGATTGACATGAGGATGAGGGCCGACCCTGCCTCGGGCTATCCAGGACGCACCTACAGATTCTACACCGGCAAGCCTGTTTATAGATTTGGCCACGGCCTCAGCTACACCACGTACTCGTATGAATTCGAAGCTGAAGCTGTAACTTCGATCTACCTGAACAACTCACAACCTCTCCAGGCTACGGCAAACTCAGACATTCCCAGTTATAACATAGAAAGCATAGGCTCCGACGCATGCGGAAAGCTAAAACTCTCTGCTGCAGTCAGTGTCAAGAATCATGGTCCTATTGCTGGAAAGCATCCGGTGTTACTCTTCTCTCGCTGGCCATCTCTGCAACATGGCCGGGCAGTGAAGCAGCTGATAGGTTTCAAGAGCGTACACCTGGAGGCTGGAGAGAGTACCAAAGTGGTGTTTTCTTTGTGGCCCTGTCAGCAGCTCAGCCGAGCCATGGGCGATGGCACAAGGGTGTTGGACAGAGGATCTCACTTCCTAGTTGTCGGAGAAAAAGAGCATGAAATCAACATCGTCTTCTAATCTCCACAGGGCAATTCGAAGGTTAACTTATATTCATTTGATTGAAACTGCAGAATGAATTGTCATATGTAATGCATCCTTTAAAATGTTTAATGAATCTACTTAATGCATAGTTAATTTTGTTTCCTTTCCGTTTGGTGATTTGGAAGGTTTTCTTTCCCAAAACAAGAATCTATCTAATTGGATAAATTTAAAACTAGTAAATCTGATTTGACCAATCGATTTATATTTTTTAATAATTTAAAATATATATTTTAAATAAATCAATTTAATTTGTTTGATCCAATTAGACGATATGATAGGATTTATAAAATTAAGACTTTGGGCCTATTTAATTAATCAATTTGAGATAAATAAAGACTTAGTAAAATGAATTCAATTGAATTGATATCTTTTAAATTAAAATTGATGAAGTTTGATTCAAAAATCAATAAAATTAATAAAAATCAAAAAATAATTTTTATACATAAAATTAAATTAAATTCGAGAAACAAATAAATTTTTTATTATATATTTCAAACAAAGAAACCAATAACGAAGGAATGAGGATATGTCTTGCCTTTCGAGGTATCAAAAAGATTGGAAGTATCCAATGATCGGGAAGCTGTATAGGTTCCGCAAATTAGGAAAACAATAAGGAGGATTCATTGCAGATGAACAATTGGGCGAATTGCTTGCCAAAGTGACAGTCAAATCACAATCATGAATCCGCCAGTACATTCTCCTACGATGCATCTATGATTCATATATTCATCGCCGTTGTCCTCGCTCCCCCACCCGTAAAAGCTGTAACACCATAGCAGCTGAGAGGATGGGAACTCGGAGAGAACTCCATGGTGGTCTGACCTTTTCCGTCGCTCTACTGCTGCTGCTCGCACAACCACTCGTAGTCTTTTCATCCCCTCCAATTGCATGCGATCCTGCAAGCCCATCGACGCGAAACTTGGGATTCTGTCAGACGACGCTGCCCATCGACAAGAGGGCGAGTGACCTCATTTCACGCTTGACCTTGGAGGAGAAGATACAACAACTGGATGATCAAGCCCCTGAAATCCCCCGACTCGGCGTGCCGAAGTACAATTGGTGGTCGGAGGCGTTGCATGGTCTGTCGAACGGGGGACATGGCATGCACTTCATTGGCCGTACCATTCCGAATGCTACCAGCTTCCCCCAAGTTATACTTACTGCAGCTTCCTTCAACCCCGACCTATGGTATCGTATCGGACAGGTAGTGCATGCTCCAAATTCCTCCGCTGTAATGTTCGTGATTGTTTTATGATGGAAACCGAAGGACTTGGAGTAGCTTAAACTTAAGCAGTTTGATACGTGAGTATATCTCTAGGAAAGAGGGAGACTAATGATAGTGGTTGCATCTTCTTCTGATGTTTGAAGGCTATCGCGGTGGAGGCTCGAGCACTGTACAACGCGGGACAAGCAGATGGATTAACGTTTTGGTCGCCAAACGTGAATATATTCAGAGATCCCAGGTGGGGCAGAGGCCAGGAGACTCCCGGTGAGGATCCCACGACGGCAAGCAAGTATGCCGTCTCCTTTGTGAGAGGACTACAAGGCGATTCCCCCACAGGGGAAAGGTCGGGCCAGCTGATGGCTTCAGCTTGCTGCAAACACCTCACAGCTTATGATTTGGATAGCTGGAAAGGCACCGTTCGCTATACCTTCGATGCTCGGGTAAGTTGCAATTATAATTATTTCTTAAATAGTAGAAAAAAAGGAATTATTTTTCAAAGATCAAACCAAATAGGAAAATAAAAAATTAAGATAGAAGAAAAAATTATATTAATTTTTTTTAAAAAATATTTATAAGATTTTAAACTACTCTTTTGCTTCGAAGAATCTATATAAATAAAAAACTTTTACCTCAAAAATTTTATCTAATCAACTTATTTAAAAGATAAAAAATTTAAAATTCTTCGTAAGAAAGTACTTTTAATTTAATTAAGAGATTCTTATCTCTAAAACTCTATCTAACTAATTTACTTAAAAAAACAATACTTTAAATCTTAATAGTCACTTCTCACACAACACAACTAAATAAATGATCGATCATATTTGAGGAGCGAGCATCTCAATGGCTTGTTTGGTGCTGCTCAGGTGACGGCTCAGGACATGGAAGATACTTTTCAGCCGCCTTTCAGAAGCTGCGTCGAACAAGGTCGAGCCACTTGTGTCATGTGTTCATACAATCGCGTCAATGGAGTACCCACCTGTGCTGATTACAATCTTCTGACCAAGCAAGCCAAAAACTTGTGGGGCCTTGATGGGTAAGATCGTAGGGATTTCGTATTAGTATGAGCTGGTTATTAATAGTCCCTTCGATTCAGATCACTGACCTATTGTTTTGATCCAATGTCTGTGTTTAGCGAAACATAATGTCAATACGAAACATCTCTCTTCTTTTCACTTCTTCTTCCTTACTATCATCATTCTTTGACTATTCCTCAGATACATTGCTTCCGACTGTGCTGCAGTTGATTTCATGTATGGTGCTTCACACTACGCCAAAACGCTCGAAGAGGCTGTTAGTTATGCTCTCAAAGCTGGTAAGAAGGATGAGGCATGGCTTTTATTGTTTACAACATAAGCAAGCAACACAGACTTCTAATGGCCAAAGGCTTGATGTAGCAAATCCATGATCCTTTTTTATTTCTCTTACTAATTCAGCCTTAGATATTTGTAAGGGTCAAAAGCTTAATATAGTAAATCTATATAACAACAACAACAATAATAATAATAATAATAAAATCATAAATCTCAATTATTTAGAATTGAATATATTGAATCTTTTATTATCATTGATATAAGTTAAGATTAGAATATTTAAATATTTATATATAGTTTTTATTAACATCTTTTTAGGTGTTCTTGAATCTCTTCTCAGAACATTAATTATTTCATCTTCTTTGACTGTGACATCTAAATGTCTTCTAGAATATATCTATATTATCTTAAATATTTTTTTTCTTTTTTTATCCTCTAATATCTAATTATTCATAAATAAAATTTTTTATATCTTTCATAATAACCCCATACATCTTTCTCTACATTTTCATCTCAACAATATTATTTTTTTATATTTTATTTGTTAATTATCCAACTCTCAGATCTATAAAGTAGGTCTCATAATTATCTTATAAAATTTTTCTTTTAATCTCATAGGCATATGATGATCACATAAGACTCCTAATACCTCTCGTCATTTTAACTATCCTGTTTTTACTCTATTAATAATATATTTATCGATCTCTCTATCTTATTTAATAATTAATCTAAGATGTCTAGGGTTTCTACTTAAAATAATTTTCTATCCATCTAATTCAACTATATTCTTCTGTCTATTTTTATATTTACTAAAATTATATTTTATATACTTAATTTAAAATATTTTATTTTTAAGATTTATCTTTATAGCTTACGTTTATAATTAATTCTAAGCAGAGCCTCATCGATTAATATGATATTATTAGTAAATAATATATATCAAGAAGATCTATGATCAGTAATTCCATCGATTATTTTTTTTACTAATTCAGTATTGTGAAGATGAACCATGATCTTTCAGCTTACTTGTCCAATATCGTAAGAAGTACTAATCATGTCGGAAAAATTTGCAGGAGTGGATATAAATTGCGGTAAGGTTATGAATCAGCATGTAGGAGCTGCTATCAAAAACGGGAATCTCTCTGAAAGTGACATAGACAGAGCCCTATTCAATGCCTTCTCCTTGAGAATGAAGCTTGGACTTTTCAATGGAGATCCACAAAAGCTACCTTCAGGGGATATCCCCCCCAGCCAAGTCTGCTCGACGGAGCACAAAAACTTGGCTCTCCAAGCAGCCCAAGACGGCATCGTTCTCTTAAAGAACACTGGCAATACCCTTCCTCTAGCGAGATCAAACGTTACATCTCTCGGTGTGATTGGCCCGAACGCCAACTTCCCTCCAAGCCTCATGGGTAACTATAATGGCCCTCCTTGCGTGGTCATCACCCCACTTGAGGCATTGCAGAGCTCCATCAAAAATACCCGATTCGAAGCAGGGTGTAACATCGTTGCTTGCAATGTCACTAAGATCCCCGAAGCTGTCCAATTGGCGAGTTCAGTGGACTATGTCATCATGTTCATGGGGTTGGATCAAGATCAGGAGCAAGAGGGCCTTGATAGGACGGATTTGCTTCTCCCAGGAATGCAGCAGACTCTCATATCCAAAGTTGCCGAAGCAGCAAAGAAGCCCATCATCCTGGTGCTGCTATCCGGTGGTCCGCTGGACATTACGTTCGCAAAGAACGACCCGAGAATAGGAGCTATCTTGTGGGCAGGTTATCCCGGTGAAGCAGGTGGATCAGCGATCTCAAGCATCATCTTTGGAGACCACAATCCAGGTGAAACGTCTCATGATTTCTTTGCTATGTAACATGCTAATGTTCATGCTAACTCGCAAGACTTCGTATCTTTATACTGGAAAGGGTTACTTCACGCTACTTACTTGATCAACCTGGTCGGCGCAGGGGGTAAATTGCCTGTTACTTGGTATCCACAAGAGTTCACAAAGGTGCCGATGACTGACATGAGGATGAGGGCCGACCCTGCCACGGGCTATCCGGGACGCACCTACAGATTCTACAACGGCAAGCCCGTCTACCAATTTGGTTATGGCCTCAGCTACTCCAGTCATTCATATGAGTTCGAAGCTGGAGCTGCAACTTCGATCTACCTGAACAACTCGTTGTCTCCCCAGGCTCAACCGAATGATCCAAACACTCTCAGTTATGACATCGCAAGCTTAGGCTTCAACACATGCGGAGAACTTAAAATCTCTGCGACCGTCAGCGTCAAGAACCATGGTCCCATGGCCGGACGGCACCCTGTGCTGCTCTTCTCTCGCTGGCCATCTACAGAACATGGTAGGCCGGCGAAGCAGCTGGTGGGTTTCCAGAGCGTGCACTTGGAGGCTGGAGAGAGCACCAAAGTGGAGTTTTCTCTGAGCGCTTGCGAGCATCTCAGCCGAGTCATGGACGATGGCAGAAGGGTGTTGGACAAAGGATCTCACTTCTTAATTGTTGGAGATGAGGAGCATGAAATCAGCATCAT